CTTTATTTTCTTTTTTTTTTCCATTTTTTCTTCTATTTTCCAATTCTTTTTCTCTATCTTTTCTTTCTTCCCACTTTTCCACTTTCCCACGTTTTTTTCTCTCTCCTTTTCTTTTCTTTTCGTTTATTTCTTCTCATCTCCGTTAATCGATTCTCGTTTCAAATTTGAGCGGGAGGCATCATAATTAATCATCTGTTCATTGCAGTCCAAACTCTTTTCTCTTTTTGCCAAAAATCTTTTCTTCCCCTTCTCCACTGAATTGATCTCCATTACAATTTTCTTGAAATCAGACTACAAACCTGCATTTGTTGATTTTGGTGTTGGGTCAGGAGCCTTTTTGATCTATGGGCAAAGGGACTGGAATAAATCCATGGCCATGAAAGTGATTTCTTGATTTACTCAAGGTATTAGTATATTTCTTTGATTATATTTCGAAAATAACAATTAACAATCTCTGTTTACCCTATTTCAAAGCAACGCTTGTTTACGTGAATACTGATTAACTGCAGTTTCTTGTTCCAAATTCTAATTTAGTACATGAAATTTTGTATTTCTCCTGAAACTTTGATGATTGAGTATGATGATTGATTTCATTCTGATTAATCATTGGTTAGATTCTTGAATCTCGACGTTTAGGGATGCTTATATTTTATGAATGTTTTATTTGATATTTTCTTTGTTTCTTGGGTACAGAATTTGAGTTTCAACAATGCCGTAAAAAGTATGCTTAATGCACGTCTTTTATGGTACTCGTTACATGCCATGATGAATATAGTTTTAGCCCTACGCCGTAAACATACTATAAAAAGTAAATTTTGTATGCATCTAAAATTTATCTTCTTGAGTGTACTCAATAAATGATATATTTTAGTTAAGTTGAACCCATCATTAAAAAATATCAAATGTTTCATAATCTCATGGTTCACTATAATGATAGAAGTTAAATTATAAACCTAACTTAATATTTTTTTATAAAAGACCGGTTTAACGTGAAAATAAACATACATATGATAGTGTTTTTTTTTTAAAAGACCGGTTTAATAGAATCTGGAATTCTTTAATTTTTGCCTTCAAATTCGAACCTAAGCGATGAATTCTTTATTCTTCAATGTATCTTCTCTCTTTTTTCTCTCTAAAGTAGGCTTTCAATATCATAAGAATTAGGTCTCCTACGTTTTGGCCGGCTCTTGGTATAAATAAGGTGCCAAAAATTACACACCAAGAGTTTTCAAAACAAAATAAGGAAACGGAATTTTTTTACCATAGTTGAATCATGTGTACGCATGGTTCAATTGGTGTGTAAGCATAGTTTGCTTGAATTAACCTCTGAAGTGAAAATTTTCAACCATGCGTACGCAAGGCTTGCAGGCTCATGTGTACACGTGGTTCAATTTTTTGAGACCAATTTGCTTGAACTTTCTAAAGTGTGTGTTTTGATCATTTTCCTAAATTTTCCTTCTGTTGACTTCTCTTCAATTTCAATTGACTTTTGGTGTTTTCTGATCATCGTCTTGCAATTCAACTCAACTTTTGAATTATTACATTTTAGTCCCCAAACTTTAAATTTGCTTCATTTTAGCCCTTTTCCATTTTTTCTTTCAATTCTTCTTTGAAACATGAATTTTTCCTAATAAAAACAATAAATAATAAATTAGTTATTAATCTGTCCAAAAAATAACAAAATATCACCATTTAGGATTCCAAATAAGTATAGAAACTACACTTATCACTATTCAATCATTCTTTTGGTTAGCCTGTTTTCATTTTCCACGCAACACGTATTTTTCCCTTTCGCCAATCCATTTTGGTCACCCCTCATCCGACCTTTTCTATATCTTCATTGCATGTATAGTGCGTTTTTATGCACTTATTTAGTTCACAAATATAATTAAATTATTAGTGAAGTGTTTGATTTGTGGCTTAATTTCGTTTGATTTGTGTATTGTAGGCTATATTGATAGACATGGTGGAATCCACAAGAAAAGATTCGATAAAGGGCTAAAACAAAGCAAAGAGAAAATTTAGGGACCAAAGCACAAATACCCAAAAGATGAACCGAAGGGGGAGTCAAGCAATTGATTAAGCTAAGTACCAATCAGATGGCATAATGGAGTAATGGAATGACAAGAAACAAGAAATTAGGTCAAAATGGAAGAAAATAAAGTTTGAGGACCAAAACAGGAAAAAAATGGAAGTTTGTACTACTATGTGGTCGCATAGTGGTACTAGCCATGCAGTCGCATGACCCATGGCAGGGAATCTAGTGGCCTATTTTTGCTTAACTATGCGGTCGCATAGGTTAAAGCTATGTGGCTGTATAGCTCATTTTCGAGGCAAAATTTTTGGTTTCCTGTTTTCGATGAAATTCTTCTGGAACTTGTTCGGAACGCGAGATAAAAATCTAGAGCAGTCATATTTTAAAAAAAATGCATTGGGAGGCAAGAAAACACATCTTGGAGCGAATTTGAAGTGACAACAACGAAGGATTTTACGAAGATCTTCTTTTTTTCATGATTTTGACATTAGAATACGTTTTGATTATTTTAAATGGTTTATATGCACTTATTTTCTCTACAATTATTGTGCACATAATTTGTGTGAGTTTGTTGACTTGTTCTTGCATTTGAGAGAAGTGAAATAGGTTCGACATGGTATAAATCATTGTAAGGTCCGACAGGGGATAGAGATATACAGCTATTCCCTACTTAAAATCTTTAATTGCTTACAAAATTACAAGCATTCTTTTATATTTGCATCCGTCATAGAAATATAGGCTAGTGTTATATGAGAATAGGTTTAACACTGCTCGAAAGAGGGTGTTGGATAGATTTAGGAGCATTGATTTTTCAAAATTTTATCGTGTCGTCAAATTGTGAGATTAGGGTTAAATTGAACATTGCTCAAAAATTTGTGATCCTAGTGCAATTAACATTTATTGAATACAATCAATTTGCATTCCAAACATCAAATTTAATTCTAGTTCATTAAACCATCATTTTGCATATTTAGTTCATTCAAATCATAAACAATTGCATAAATTAGGGTTTTCTTGAGATTATGGTTTTCTTAGGTTAAAAATTCATTATCGATAATATAGTTTCGGTTAAGGCTATAATAGGTAAAATTGAACTACTCAATCTCTGTGGGACAATATTCGAAACTGTAACTTCCACTTTATTACTTGTTGTGAACCGTACACTTGCGGAAACAAATTGAAATCATTATTTCATGAACAAGTTTTCAGCACCGTTGCTAGGGATTGAGTTTTCGTTTAATCTTATTTACATTGACACTAATTCGAACATTAATCTCTAAATTCTCTTATTTTATTTTCATTACATTTTGTTATTCAAAGTTTTCCAGAATCTAAATGTCATTGTCGATTTTTCTTGTAGAATTTTTTTCTAAGATCTACTGTAGAAGACTTGATTCCAACCGATCCAAAAATAGAAGGAACTTTACATTGAATGCAGTGAGAAACTAGGAAAGCACAGCAACAAATGACTAATTTACAGAATAATCCCATCTTTCAAGCCAATGAAGGAGGGGCAATGGATGAAGGAAATATGCTTGTAGGAGATTTCATGACTCCTCAGATAATTCAAAGCTAGTCAAGCATCGTGTATCCACTGCTTGGGTAGCCTAATTTTCAATTAAAGACCAACATGATACAACTACTTCAAAATGAACATCAATTCTATCGCAGAGCTGAAGAGAACTAACATACGCACGTCTCTCACTTTTTGAAGATGTGTCAACACTTCAGATATCAAGGAATTCTAGATTATGCTATCAAATTAAGGCTGCTCCCATATATACTGCGCAACAAGGCAATAGAATGGCTAGATTCGCAACTAGCCGTCGGCATCACTACATGGAAAGATCTAGCATAGGAATTTTGCACCAAGTTTTTCCCACCTTCCAAAATTGTAAAGCTTAAGCATGACATACCTGTTTTCCATCAAGGCAACTCAGAGAACTTTAATGAAGCCTGGAATAGGTTCAAAAATATGCTGCGAAAGTGTCCACATCATGGGATTAGCAAGGGGCTCTAGGTCCAATATTTCTACATGGGATTACTTCCAGCCTTCAAGAGCAAGTTTGACTATTCATCTAACAGATCACTGTAAAAAAAAAAAATTGATCGAGCACTGAAACTATTTGAGACAATGGCTACTACATCAGCTATATAGACATCAGAAAGAGCAGCTCAGAAAAGGACACTGGGGTTTATGAAGTGGACGCATATTCTGTCTTGTCTGCAATAATTGACTCATTATTTCACAAGGTGGAAAATATGTCACAATCAACTAACACAGCACAGACAAAGAAAGTCAGTTGTGAGGAATGTAGAGCTGAACATGTAATAGCGGAATATCCTATCTTAGTACAAAGAATAGAATGGGCAGATTTTGCTCAATGGGGACAGCGCCAATAGAATAATTAGTATGAGGAAACATACAATCCGAGTTAAAAGAAGCATCCTAATTTTTCTTGGAGCAACCAAAATCAGAACAGGCCACAGCGTCAGTATCAACAGCAAGAGAAAAAGCCACATATGGAAAAGATGTTCAAAAAATTCATGGAAAAGACTAATCAATACATGGAAGACAATAATCAGTTCATGAGAAAAATCGAAGCCACTCTTCAAGATCAAAATGCCGCCATGAAAAATATAGAGACTCAAATGGGATGGATGACAGTTGCTTTGACTAGCAGAGCAATAGGTAGCTTGCCAAGTTATACGGAAATAAACCCAAAAAACATGCGAAGGCAATTACAACTTGAAGTGGGATGTAGCTACTTGAAATACACGACAGAAAGCCAAGTGTAAACAGAGAAATAACACATCCTGCGACAGAAGAGACCGTGGAGCATGACGAGCAGATAAATGAATCTACCTCAATGGAAGGTTTAGGTACATCACATGATAAAGCAACAGCAATCGTCAACCCTCATGAGCCTCCTATTCCATTTCCACAGAGGTAAAGAAGCAGAAGATGGGGAAGCAATATAAGAAGTTTTTTGAAGTTTTCAAGAAGCTCCATATAAACATCCCACTTGCCGAAGCATTAGTCCAGATACCTAGCTACGCAGAGTTCTTGAAGGACATCTTATCAAATAAATGTAAGCTTGGGAAACATGAGACAATTATGCTGACTGTGGAATATAGCGCCAGAATTCAGAAGAAACTTCCACTGAAATTGAAAGATCTAGGGAGTTTCACCGTCCCTTGCACTATTGGTGAAGTATATTTTGAAAAAACTTTATGTGACCTTGGTGCAAGTATAAATTTAATGCCTCTGTCTATATTTAGGAAACTTGGATTGGGAGAGGCCAAGGCTACCATTGTGACATTGCAGTTAGCAGACAAATCCTTGACACATCCACGAGGGATAATTGAAAACGTGCTGATCAAAGTGGAGAAATTCATCTTCCCTGCATATTTTCTCATTTTGGATATGGAGGATGACAAGAATATTCCATTGATATTGGGTTGACCCTTCTTAGCCACAAGCAGAGCTCTGATTGATGTTCATAAGAGATAGTTGATTCTAAGATTGGGAGAAGAGCTGATTTTTTTAAATGTTTTCAAGGCGATGAAGCTACCTACAGAGTCAGAGTTATTTCCAGATCGATGTGATTGACTGGTGGTTCAAAATTCATTCTTGCTACATAATTCATTAAATGCTTACGATCTTGCATTGCACACTCTCAATCAACACATTTCGATTCTGTGGAGATCGAAACATGTGCAAGATTTTTGGATACCAACCTACTTTATACACCCAAAAGGTATTTTGAGGAGCTTGGTACAGGACTAAAAAAACCACTACCATCCATTCAGCAGTCATCTAAATTGGAACTCAATCAATTGTCACCACGTTTCAGATATGACTACTTTGAGGAGTCTTGTACACTCCCGGTCATTATCTCGAACACAGTCAGCGAAGTAAAAGAGGAAAAACTGCTTACAGAGAGAATAAAACAACGATTGGATGGACTATAGTAGATATCAAAGGGATCAGCCCTTCACTGTGTATGCATAATATTTTCATAGAGAAGAATTTCTAGCCAACCATAGAGAGTCAAAGGATGTTGAATCGTAATATGAAGGAAGTGGTCAGAGTAGAGGTATTCAAGCTTCTAGATGCAAAAATCATATATTCGATATCAGATAGTGCATAGACTGGCCCAGTCCAGGTGCTGCCCAAGAAAGATGGAATCATGGTAGTGCCAAATGAGAAGAATGAGCTAATTCCTACCAAAACAGTGATGGGATGGAGGGTTTGCATCGATTACCGCAAACTCAATGCAGCTGTAAGGAAAGATCACTTTTCCCTTTTGTTTATTGATCAGATGCTGGAAAGATTAGCAGGTCACTCACATTGCTGCTTTCTCGATGGGTATTCAGGTTAAAATCAGATACCAGTAGCACCAGATGACCAGGAAAAAACAACTTTCACTTGCCCCTATAGTACCTTTACATACCGAAGGATGCCCTTCGGCCTTTACAATACTCCTGTCACATTGCAAAGATGCATGATGGCAATTTTCTCAGACACGGTAGAAAAGTTTATAGAAATATTCATGGATGATTTCTTGGTCTTTGGGTCTTCGTTTGATGAGTGTTTAGAGCACTTGAATTTGGTCATACGAAGATGTAGGAAAACTAATTTGATATTGAATTGAGAGAAATGCCACTTCATGGTACATGAGGGGATTGTGCTAGGACACCGAGAAAAGGGAATCGAAGTGGATAAAGCAAAGATTCGGATCATTGAAAAGCTACTGCTACCTACATCAGTTAAGGGTATTCGCAGTTTTTTGGGACATACTAGATTTTACTGAAGATTCATCAAGGACTTCTCAAAAATCACTAAGCCACTATGTAACCTATTGATGAAATACGTGTCATTTGAGTTTAATAAGAAATTCCTGATAGCTTTCAACACTTTGAAGTAGAAACTCACGTTAGTGTCGATAATTGTAACACCAGATTGGGAATCACATTTTGAACTAATGTGTGACGCCAGTGATCATGCCGTGTGTGCAGTATTGGGACAGCGAAGAAATAAAGTTTTTCATGTGATTTACTATGCAAGCAGAACACTGAATGATGCTCAAATTAACTATGCAACCATTGAAAATGAGCTATTAGCTATGATATATGCATTTGACAAATTCAAGTCATATCTTGTCGGGTCTAATGTTATAGTCTACATAGATCATGCTACACTGAAATATCTAATGATAAAGAAGGATGCTAAGCCGAGATTGATCCGTTGGGTATTATTGCTGCAAGAATTTGATATCGAAATTCGAGAAAAAAAAGGACAGTTATAATGTGGTAGTAGATCACCTATTGCGATTGGAGCTTGAAGAACTAGAAGAGTCAATGGATATCAATGAGATTCTCAGTGTAGAAGAAGCACCGTGGTATGAAAATATTGTCAACTATTTGGCTAAGTCCATTCTACCACCAGATTACTTAAGTCACAAAAGGAAAAAATTCTTTGCCGAACTGAAAAGCTACTTTTGGGAAGACCCTATTCTCTATAGGTACGGGACAGATCAGATTATAAGGAGATGTGTGCCTGAAGTAGAAGTGCTTGAGATTCTTGAGTATTGCCATTCATCTGCTTAAGCGGGATACTTTGGAGCTTCAAAGATTGCTGCAAAGATTTTACAGTCAGGGTTTTATTGGCCTGCATTGTTCAGAGATGCCTTTGAGTTTGTCAAGAGATGTGATAGTTGTCAATGCACTGGGAATATCTCGAGGAGGAATGAAATGCCACTAAACAATATATTGGAAGTTGAAATATTTGACGTATGGGAAATCGACTTTATGAGACATTTTCCCCCATCGTTCTCAAATTAGTATATCCTGGTCGCTGATGATTATGTGTCTAAGTGGGTGGAAGTAGTTGCACTACTAACCAATGATGCGAAGAGGGTAATTGGGTTTTTGAAGAAATATATTTTCACCCGATATGGCACAACGCAGACGATACTTAGTGACGGGGCAAACATTTCTGCAATTGTCAATTTAAGCAGTTGTTGAGTAAATATGGCATTAAACACCATGTAGCTACCCCATATCATCCACTGACCAGCGGGCAAGTTGAAGTTTCTAATCAACAGTTGAAGAGAATACTTGAACTTACAAGAAATTTATCCTGAAAGAACTTGTCTAAAAAGTTGGATGACGCATTGTGGGCTTATAGAACAACATTTAAGACACTGATAGCATGTCTTCATATCGCCTAGTTTTCGGGAAAGCGTGCTACCTACCACTTGAATTGGAACATCGTGCATACTGGGACATGAAACAATTTAACATGAATTTGAAGGTTGCCAGTCAAAAGCATCTGCTGCAACTAAATGAGTTAGACGAATTTCGGATGGAAGAATTTGAAAATGCTAAACTCTACAAAGAATGAACCAAGAAGTGGCATGACTTATATATTCAGAGGTAAGAGTTTGAAGTAGGGCAGAAAGTACCATTGTACAACTCTAGACTCAAGCTTTTCTCAGGGAAACTAAGATTAAGGTGGTCGGGTCCTTACATTATTGTAAAGGTGCTACCTTACGGGGCTATAGAGATCAATCATGAAACCAAAGGCACATTCACAGTTAATGGGCAAAGGCTGAAGTACTATTGGAAAGGTGAGTTCTCTAGGGAAAAGTCTAACATTAGCCTCGAGACACCAGAATGAAGTAGCCACGGGAAAGTCGAGCTATCAATTATAAACTAGCGCTGGGTAGGAGGCAACCCACTATATCTTTTTAATTATTTTGCTTTTTACATTAGCTTAGGAATTTATTATTATTTTTTTTCATTTCATGTTTGCATTTTTGATAGTTAGGTCATCGATCATCCTTGCATGTCAAAATAGTCTAAGCACTACCCATACAAATCCCTATGCATCAGGCATGAATTGGGATTGATTGAAGTTATTTTGGGTGATTGGGTGTGTCACGCATTTCAAGGCAAAAGTGTGTTTTATAATTTTTTTTAGGTCAAGGAGTGATTTCAAATCAAAAGTTGGTTTTGGCACTAAGTCTATGGCTTGCACGAATTCTATATGGTCTAAAAATGTGTTTTTGAAAAGTTTGGGAACGTTGAGAGGCTGGATCAATTCACCAATTGAAAACCAAGATTTTGGGGGAAAATTTGATCTAAGTCGTGTTTTTGGGGAATCAATTGTATTGTTAAATTTTTCATGTGCATACTAATTTATTAAAACCATTTGCATGTTTAAAAAAATTTAAATTTTGGCCTAGTTGGTGGTCTACGCGGTTGCATAGACCTACCAACTATGCGGACACAGTTATATAGAAGAATTCCCTGTCGTTCTAACTATGCGACCGCAAGTACTAAGGCCATGCGGCCACATAGAAGGGCCAGTTACGGATGTTAAAACCCGTAACTTGGCCACACACCCCATATTTTCCACACATAAGACCCACAAGCTAGGGCATATTTTCCCCCAAATTCACGATACCAACTCACTATTGCACACACAAGTAACCTCTCAAATGAAGCAAATCTTCGATCATTCCACGAAGTTCATTCACCCACTCCCCAAACATATCGACAACACACGACATCCACATGAAAACATATCTAGGGCTTGAGTTCTCTCACTTTTAGGGCAACATTCACTACTGCACATCGAAATCCCAACTTCAATTGGCACAATTCATCTCACAATCCACACATTCATCAATTCTAAGGTATGAATCATCCACTTTTTCACCTTTTTAATTTTTGGCTCGAGAGTCACATTCGAATTCTCTTATGAATATTGAGGAGTTTGGGTATAAGTTGTTGATGTGTTATGAAGTAGTTGTGTTATATGCCTTGTGGGTTGATTTTACTAGGCAATTACTTCAAATGATAGAATTCCACCTTAGTGCACACAATGTGTTTGTTAAATTGCCTATGTGATGATAGTTATGCATTTTGGCAAATCTTGCAATGGACATGGGTTGCAACTGAATTGGAGTACATGTTATGATGAGTTCTTGTTGAAATTGAATTGGAAGCCATAATAACCCAACTCCAGCACACATAAGCACATAGCGGTTAGGTCACCGCACCCCATCGCACGTACTTTGAGCCTAAGCCTACCTAAGCAGACGACCTCCGATGGACATGAATTTAACCGTGTGCTGGAACAATGTGAAAGCTTTTATATGCTCAGAGGTTGCTCAGAAAAATTTCAATTTTTCCCGATGATGCCCAACAGTAAAAGTCTTAGGTCTGTCATGGGTCAAAATTTCATAAAGTGCATGTTTGGGCCTAGTTTTATTGGTTTTTCTTATTTTTACAATATTAATACTATCTCAAGCCTAATTTCTTGAATATTGCACACCAACATGTTATACATGCATCTTGAAGTAAGTTTGGGGGATTTGCGGGTTACATTCGTTCTTTCTTGTTTTTCATGCCTATTTAATTACACTTTGTGGTCCTAATATGAAATTTTTCCTC